AAATTTTGGCTCTTGTAGGTTGTTCTACAGCATCTTCCAACTAAAAAGACGTATCTTTTCGTCTGTGATAAGTGGTTGGAGTCGGAGAATGCTGAGGAGTCAGTTGTATATGAAATGCCAGCGTTCGGCTTGGACATTGCCCATCCTGCATCAGGTGAGGCTGGAGGGTTGTTTTTTTATCGGACTTTCTTCTTAAGCCTAGTTCTACACACTTGAAGAGTTCAAGAAAAGCTAAAATTGGTTAAAATAACAAAGCGTCACAAATAGCCAAACGTTATTCAAAAGAGCGAGAAACAGATCCAAAACGTGTGTTTTAACAAGTGTTGGCATAGAGTTCAATAACTTGCCTGTGATAATTGTTGCTAAACTAGTTTGACAATGGTGTAGCAGGATCCTTCCATAATGCAATGCGATCTTCCTCGTAATTTTGATCAGAATTTGTGCGTCTTTGCAATGCCCAATTAAAGCATTTCGGTTCTGAACACATGTAAAAAGACATTTTACCAGGATGTTGGCTTAACGTATTTATTCGAGACCATTTTTAGGGCTACATGTTTTCCGGTGACTGTAGACAGTTTTTCTCCACCAAAACTATGCACACTGAGTGTAAAAAAGTATATGAGAAGTGCTACTGAAATGGGTTTAAAAGTAGTATAACATGGGAGAACTTTTGAAATGTGCTTTAGCCTCTCTGATTATGTAGAAGTAAATTTATGCATCTACGTAGCATGTAAATGGCATAGCTTGGTTTTGGAATGCTACAAAAAAAGCTGTCTGAGGCTATAGTTTAGTAGTTTGAAAAATTTATAAGATTTATTTTTAGGTGTTCTTTGGCAATAACATATGTCTCAATATTCTTTGGTGGACTTGTTTTGCAAGTCAGTGTCTAATATCAAACCCAATTCTTTCTGTCTTTAAGACCATAAATTTTTGTTTTAAAATCTACCTTGTGGTATCCCTACTTAAACGATTTTTAAAGTAGTATAACACCGTGTTTCTTTTGAAATGTAATTTAACCCTCCCTGTGGTGTGGGAAAATCACCCGTATAGGTAGAGCAAACTGACTATTTTGTTATCGGATTGCAGTTAATTTCAGAAGTACGTGCACATGCTATGGTGTGGAAATCTGTGCAATGAAGTGACAATGCCTTTTCTTTATCTTTATCAGTACGAACATACCGAGTGACTGTGGCAACTGGGCAACAGTCAGTGGAGAATTTGGACTCCAATGTGCATATAAATATCTTTGGCAGTATGGGTGATACAGGCATTCGAAGCCTACGCAAAAAAGGCGCGTTTTCACGAGGAAAGGTACCGTTTCTTCTTTCACTTATTTTATTTTTGCGGCCCTAAGTCTACTCTGATTTCGGACATTCTATCAAGTTTCCATCCCCTCTTAACGGCTGATTGCTCCATAACAGTAGAGTAAAGTTAGTCAGTGTAATGGTCTTCGTCTAGTTCATTCCACTCATCAGAGGCATGTAGAATGGATTAGATTTGGTTGTCACCAACACTCATTGTAAGGCAGCAAGTTATTCATGATGAGGGATTGGAAGACCACCGCCATCGACCAAAGGCCCTGCACAGGTTGGGCGGATTGATGGGATCTGGTTGGGCCACAGAAGTTGCCTTTTAACAGGCGACTAGGTGAAGCAAAAGTATTTGTATTTTTTTTCCACTTTTTTTAAAATAGGTTGATGAATTCCTAATCGAGGCGGTCTCCTTGGGGAGGCTGGAAAAGATACGAATCGGTCACAGTGGCAAAACTGTGACACCAACGTGGTTTTTGGACAGAGTGACTGTGGAAGAGGTGGGAAATTCGGCCAACAAAGTTGTGTTTGAAGTACATAAGTAAGTTTTGCGTCAGATTGTGAAACCTAAAACTTTGTACAGTCTCTAAGGCTCTACAATTGTTTTATAACTTGACACATTTAGTTGGTTGGCTACTCGAGGATTGGACGGTGTGTGCGAGGAGGAACTCTATCCCACGCAGTGGACAGAAAGTGAGTTTGTATAAATATTTTCAGTCGGGCATATTCATGTACAAGCACCTTGTATTTCCCTACTTTGGACTTTGTGATT